TACCTGCTGCGCTGAAGATACCGCTACGGCGAAAGAGAGAGAGAGAGAGAGAGAGAGAGAGAGAGAGAGAGAGAGAGAGAGAGAGAGAGAGAGAGAGAGAGATGAGCAATACAAGTTTGGTGGTCACTTACCTGTGAAGCGAGTTGCGCAGTCCACGAAGGAGAAGACAGCGGTCATAGCCGCGAAGCTTGCACCACAGAGTGATGAGTAGGGGGAGAGAAGGACAGAGGGGGAGAGAAGGACAGAGGGGGAGAGACCGAGAAGGGAGACAAGCGGCCATAGCCAAGAGGTGAAGAGGAGGCCGAACAAAAAAAAAAAAAAAGAGAAAGAGAAGAAGAGGACAGTGGGGTGAACGGAGGCGAGGAAGGTGAAGAAGAAGAAGAGGGTTGGCGAGGAAGACGAGCCGGCAGCCATAGCTGACCGGAGGGTTGACCAGAGGCGTTGACCGGCGTTGACCGGAGTTGACCAAGGGTTGACCGCAGCGTTGACCGACGTTGACCAAGACCGTTGACCAAGACTTTGACCAAGCTGGAGTTGGTAATATCTCGCCAAGCCTTCAGCATACCCCTCGCCTTATGGATGTGCACACACCCCCCGGTACTTGTTGAGTCAAGTCAGTCTGTCTATTCATTCTGCATTGAGTCTCTTCTGTCCTAGGTGATAGCACTCTGTGGATGAAGGATAGGGCTTGGATGATGAAACCCTAGTCTGACCTTGTAGGGCTAAGACTGTGGCTGATCCAACTTTCCAGGGGGGCATAACCCTCCCAAGGACCGGTGCTGACCGGCTGGAAATGGTTGGTAGGACTCAGTGGGCTTGAACGGCAGTTAGGGCTGACACACGAGGCAATCTTTAAGTGTTGAGGGCCTGTTTGAACCACTCCCCTACCGGACCAAGTAAGGCTGAGGATCTATGTCTGACGACTCGACTGTCCCGGGGGATACGAACCCTCCCAAGGACCGGTAAAGACCGGCGGGCTGCTCGGTGTGGCACAGTAGGCCGGAAAGGYTGAGTTGTGGGCTGAAAGCACAGGCAGAGTCAAGCTGATCACGTCGTCCTGTCTGCGACGTTAAATAATTCTTGCGGAGTTACGGGGGATCTCCTTAAATGCCTCCAGATCAGCCACTAGTTTAGTAGTGACAGCCATAGCATAGGTCTAGGCTAGAGACCATAGTTGGCAGGATCCCTGTCAGGATTCTGTGAGTTTTAGATTGAGTCAGTAGGTTGTCAGTCAGGGGTCAGAGTCTACGTGGTGAGGTTTGGAACCACTAACCCGGTTGTACGCTTATCACCATGGTTGAGACCCGTACTGGGTTAGAGACTAGCCCCTATAGCAAGGAGCAGCAAGAGAAGATGGCCGCCTTAGTGAAAGAAAACAGGGAGAGAAAAGAGCGTGAAAAGCAGGCGAAGTTAAAGGCGATTGCGGAGGAACAGGCGGCGAAGATGAAAGAGATAGAGGAGGAGATGGAGAGGAAGAAGAAGGCTGCTAAAGAAGAAGCAGCAGAAGAAGAAGAGAAAGAGAGGATGAGAATTGAGAGTAGGGAAGGGAGTAGTGGCACGAAGAAGGATAAAGATGCAGAGATGGAGAAGAAAATAAGTGAGTGGGTTGCTAACTTATCGTTGGGTGAAGATGAGGAGGCACAGATGTATGTGCCACAGGAGGAGGAGGCGTTTGCCAAGGCCCTCACAGTGATTGAGGACCCCCTCGAACGTCAGGAAGCCGAGGAGGAGAAGAGTCTGGAGTGGAAACTGAGGATGAAGAGGGAGCAGAAGAGGAGAAGGGAGGAAGTCAACCGATTGATCGCAGAAGTGGAAAAGGTGCGGACATGTAGGCAGGAAGTCCAGGCACAGGCAAATGTTTCTTCCAAGATGGATAAGATGTTGGGATACTTAGAGGTGTTGAGTGAGGCCTGGTTAGAGGAACGACAAGCCAATCAGGGCCAGGATATTACCCTGAAGGCCATGCGGTCAGGTTTTAGAGAGTTTGCGCGCGAGATCGTCACCCACATTGGGGGCGAAGTGAAGCAGTTGAGAGATAACGTCGGCAAGTTTTGTGAGGGCGCCATCGAGGGTGCCAAAGCCATAGCCGAAGTAGAGGGTGAGGCCAAACCTCGCAAGGACCCAGTAAAACTCAAGTTCCCAGACGCTTATGGAGGGAAGAAGGAGGAGAACTTTGACAACTGGGAAGCTACTGTCAACAATTATATTTACCTACAGCACATCTTGATAGATGAGCAAGTCCTTGTGGCCTTCCAGGCCCTGAAGGACGAAGCGGCTAGTTTCCCTAGATCCCTTGCGCGTGCGGCCGGTTGCGAAAACAACCTGGTCGCCTACTCCAAAGTCACCCCCCTCTCTCAGTTCCTTAAGCTCCTGAAGGAGCGGTTTGCTGACCCAACGCGAGGCGTCAGAGCCTCAGACAAATTACAGACGATCCACTCACGACAGTGGAGGAGTGCAAGGGCACTCAAGGGTACCATGGACGACTTGGTAGCCGTCCCGGACCATGGGGTCACTGAAACCCAGTTGGTCCAGTTGTTTTATCGTGCCATGCCAAAGGCCCTACGTGGTCATTTCTTTGACAAGTCTCAACAGGCCGGGATCACATACGATGTGTTGAGTGGGGAGGTGGTCCTGTATGAGTCAAAGTCTATGCCAGTCACCACTTTCTGGCATAAGGACCTAGAGAAGGGGAAGAAGTGGAAGGATCGTACGATCTCAGGCCAAGTCAAGGCCAAGGATCGCTTGATCCTAACACTAGAGGAAGGTGGTACAAACGAGATCCCATATGAACAGATTGAGTGGGGCCTAGGGGAGGAGGACAGTAGTGTAGGGCAAGGGAGGTCTTATGCTGCTGTCGCGGCTGGAGGGAAGCCGCAAGGTAGAGGAGGAGGCTAGGGCCAAAGGGGCCAGGCCATGGGAGGTCGAGGACCGGGCGCACAGCGGGTTGGCGGCCAAGGAAACCGCCAAGCGGGAGGTAGGGGTCAAGGTCCCCCGCCAAATCGCCAGGGTAATCGATCCCCACAGCGACGAGGTGGAAGGGCACCTCAAGGAGGTTGGCACCCAGGCTTGCCACAGGGCAGGCCCTGGGAAGATCAGGGCTTGGACCAGCGATTATGGCAGGAACGAGTGAACTCGGGTCAGTGCGTATTCTGTGGTGACCCGGCCCACGTAATAAAATTTTGTCCTAAGTATAGACAGGCCCGTTGGGCTGCCCAGCAGTCAAAAGGCAGCCGCCAGTAGGGGTCGCAACTGCCCCTACTTCAAGGCCATGTGGAGAAGTGAGCGCGCGCGAATAGGACACTCCCAACCCACATGAGCCTATGGCAGAGGTTGCAGGCCCGTGCCTAGCTAGCTGTCCAGAGACCGCTCGTGTTATTAGGCACGTCCCTCAAAGGTGTGGCAGAAGAGTTAAAGAAGAGGATGCCAGCCTGGGCCAAGATGAAGAAAGAGAGTAAGGGACAACTAATCTTGGTAGACGTAGAGGTTTTTAGAAGTAGAGTAGGGGCCTTTATAGACTCAGGGGCCACCCGTAGTTATATTAGCCGTAGGGCGCTGAAGAAGCTGAGACTAGGATTGAAAGTCCAAAAGTTGACAGACCCCATAGTCAGTGTCCTCGCAAACAACCGCACAGTGCGTGTTGAGGACTATGTAGAGGGAGTCCAGGCGTACCTTCGCCTAGGGAAGGATGGTAAAGTGGAGAAAGTCCTTCATTCCTTGACTCTCCTCGTTCAGGATGACCTTCCTTTCGACGTAGTGTTAGGAATGGATTGGGGAGAGGCAGTCGAGGCCACACTCCATTTGAGAGAACATGAGTGTAGGCTCCCTAGTCCGTCAGGCGAGGTTAAGACGCCCCGCCTGTTTCATGTGTCAGGTGTAGACAACACCTTGGCACATTGCTGTCTCAGTGTTCCTGCGTTTGCGTGGTTTGTGAAAAAGGAGCAATTAGAGGACCAAGTCTTTGTAGTGTATGTTAGACCTGTCACTGAGGGCAAGGAAGAGATAAGTTTCACGGATCCAACCATATCCAAGTTGCTGGAAGAGTTCAAAGACTTGACCGAGTCGCCGACAGGAGTAGTGTCGCGACCCATCCAGCACAGGATAGAGATAGAACCTGGCAGTAAAACTCCTAAGGGAGCAATTTACAGGATGTCCCCTAGGGAGTTAGAGGAGCTGCGTAAGCAGTTAGACGAGCTCTTCGAGAAAGGTTGGGTCCGACCCAGTTCATCTCCTTTGGGAGCACCTGTTTTGTTTGTCCCCAAGAAGGAAGGAGAGCTTAGAATGTGTATAGACTATAGGGGTTTGAATGCGATTACTGTAAAGAACGTTGAGCCGCTGCCCAAGATAGACGATCTTCTAGATCGGGTGCAGGGTTGTAAGTATTTCACTAAGATTGATTTGAAGTCCGGTTATCATCAGATAGAAGTCCATCCTGATGATCAGTACAAGACTGCCTTTCGGACTAGATACGGGCATTATGAGTTCATAGTGATGCCCTTTGGACTAACCAACGCGCCAGCTACATTTCAGCGTTCCATGAATGATTTGTTTAGACCCTGGTTGGATAGGTTTGTCGTAGTCTATTTAGATGACATCCGAATTTTTAGTAAGACCCTCCAGGAGCATCAGGGTCATCTGAGGCAGGTCTTGGAGAAGCTACGAGAAGCTAACTTCAAGATCAACGTGAAGAAGTGCGAGTGGGCCAAGACACAAGTCTTGTACTTGGGCCACGTATTAGACGGAGAGGGCATTAAGCCAGAGGACAGTAAGATAGCGGTGATTAAAGATTGGCTGACGCCCCGCACATTGACAAAGTTGCGGTCGTTCCTAGGCCTAGCTAACTACTTCAAGAAGTTCGTAAGGAACTTCTCCACTATCGCCGCTCCCTTGCGCAGATTACTGAAGAAAGAGGCAATCTAGCAATGGGACAAAGACTGTACGTTTGCGCTCAAGAAGTTAAAGCGCGCGTTAATAGAGTATCCTGTCCTCAAAGTTGCAGATCCGTCTTTGCCATTTGTCGTCACCACGGACGCGAGTAAGTATGGGGTAGGCGCCGTGTTATAGCAAGACGACGACAATGGCTATAGACCCGTAGAGTTCATGTCAGCGAGGATGCCATGTGAGAAGGTCGCTACCTCHACGTACGAGAGAGAACTCTACGCTCTCGGGCACGCTTTAGACCATTGGAAACACTACCTGCTTGGGAGGCACTTCAAAGTGTATTCTGACCATTAAACGCTTAGATGGTTAAAGACTCGGGCCAAGATGACACCTAAGTTGACTAGGTGGGCCGCAGAGATAGACCAATTCGACTTTGAGCTCAAGCCAGTTGCGGATGCTCTGAGTAGGAGATCAGACTACTTTGGAGCCGTAGTACACTATCTGGATATAGGGAGAGACCTGCAGGAGAAAATGAAGCAAGCATATGCGCAGGACCCTATCTATAGCGACCTCCTAAAGAGAGTTAGMGAGGCCCCAGAGACTGAACCAGATTACCGCACTACCAACGGGTTGCTATTTGAGAAGACTAATGTGTTTGAACGCCTGTGCGTTCCCAATAGCGAAGAGATCCGCAGTTTGAACTTAGGGGAATGCCACGACACCGAGGGACACTTCGGTTGGCAAAAGACTCTAGCCAACCTGATGCGTGCGTATACCTGGCTAGGGATGAAGAATGACTGCATAGAGTATGTTCGCAGTTGTAAAGTATGCCAGCGTAATAAGACTACTACGCGCGCCCCCCTTGGTCTTCTCAAACCCTTGCCTATTCCGGATCAGCCGGGAGACTCAGTGTCCATAGACTTTATGGACACCCAAGTCAAGAGTAGACATGGTAAGAGCCAAGTCATGGTCATAGTTGACCGGTTTAGTAAGTATGCAGTTTTTGTTCCTTTGCCTGCAGAGGCACGTACAGATTTAGTGATATGGAAGTTCTTTGACTTTTGGGTTAGTGAGAATGGAATCCCATTGTCAATAGTCAGCGATAGAGATAGTCGCTTCACCAGCCAAAACTGGCAAGAACTCGTGAGAGTATATGGGTCTAAGTTGTTGATGTCGTCTGGCCGCCATCCTGAGACCAACAGTCAAATGGAACAGATGAACAAGATCCTACAGCAAGTTATGCGCATGTACATTAGATGATTAGACCAGATCAGATCAACTGGGATGAGATGTTGCCTAAAGTAGCTAGTGCGTACAACAATAGCGTGCATATATCCACCTGCCGCACTCCCAACGAACTGCACAAGTCCTTTAGACCCCGCAGACCATTCGAAGGACTGAATCGGGATCAGATTCACAGACTACCGCCCGGAACCAAGGAGTTTGCGATACGGCATGAGAAAGAATTAGCAACTGTTGTTGATAACCTTAGGAAGGTCTAGCATAGGATGAAAGAACAAGCTAACAAGCACCGTCGCCCATCACAGTTTCAAGTAGGCGACTTAGTCTGGGTCAAGGCAAAAGAGTTTGTGCCTGAAGAAAACATCTCTCAGAAGTTACTGCCGGCGTATAGAGGACCGTGGCCGGTTCTAGAAGTTAAGGGCGGAGAGGATGGAGCGTCCTACACCGTAGAGATTCCAGTTCACCTCCACACCTACCCCGTATTCCATGCTTCAAAACTGCTGCCGTGTGTCACAAGTCAACAGTTCCCTTCAAGACGATCCATGATCCCCCCGGATATGGATGGAAGCTATGACATTGACGGCATTGTAGGTGATGTCTTCAGAACAGGAGGTAGAGGTCGTCCACAGAAACAGTATAAGGTCCGGTTTGCATATCAGGAGCCGGAGGATGACCGCTGGTTTACGAGATCAGAACTTCTAGAGACCGCTCCCGATATAGTTAGAGCCTATGAAAGAGAATAGAAAGGTAAAGGACCTGCCTTGGACTGAATTGTTCTCGGAGGACCTCGAATTTAGGACGGCGGGAGTGAAACGGTATTCACCAGTTAGCAGTAGTTGCTGCAGATCCCAGGGTTCGATCCCTAGACCCCAACCTTACCTGTGTACAGTACCTGTGTCGGCCTGTAGAGTTGAACCCGTGACCTGTGTATTTGTAACAGCTGATAGGTTGTCGTAGGGTCCATAGGTAGCATGGGTTCGATCTGTAAACCTGTCGGATAGGAGTCTTAGTCAGGTCTAGACACCGTAGCTGTAGTGTTCTCGAAAGGTCAAGGTTGTAGCTGCTACAATCCAGAAGGGTCAGAGKCGTAGCTGCTACAGTCACGAAAGGCCAAGTCYACGRCSTTCCGGAAGGTCCCGGTAGTGGCATTTCGTGAGTTGCCCACKTTTAAGCAGAGGCAARTGGTCAAGTGGTGAGGCAAGTGGGCAAGTGGGGGWAGTCTACCCTGTTGAGTCAACAGTCCCAGTCCCCAGTCAGTCAAGCAAGTACCGCACRGGACTGTGTGCACTTCGGGCCAGGGAAATGGGCCAGACCAACRACCTAAAGAAGTATAAATCAAGAGGCAGCCCCCAGCCATTCATTCATTCATGCGGAAGCCATGCGGAAGCGCTGTCTCAGCGTTTTGTGCAAGGAGGTCTGTTGGAAGCCCGAAGCAGAAGTGGGCGAGGGGGACGAAGTACAGCCATAGCGATAGGTTAGAGGCAGCCATAGCTGCCATAGCTGTAGTTAGTGGGAAGAGTGTGTGTGCATGTGTGAGCGTTCAGAGTGACGTGTGTGGGATATCCAGGGTGATCCAGTGTGTGAACAGTGAGTTGTTTGGGCGCTAAGTCGCCATAGC